TAAATTCGATCTAATACTATTTATTTATACATATTTTTAGATAAGTAAATAATTCAGATATAACATAATTATATTGTTACATGTCTCTCAATGTGTGTAGGTACTCGTGTATGTGTACGAGTGTGTGTGTGTGTGTATGCGGGTGTGCGTGTGCCTGTATGAGGGTACGAGTGTACGGCTGTATAGAATCCCCAGCGCTACGGTACGTTACATTTTAGGTTTCTAGTCTTTGATATATGGAATACATACGGTTTCATAAAACTTGAGTATAATACTATATAGTGTTAAAGTCAAACGAAATGTTTTACGATTAAAAAGGAACTAAGGGTACACCAACGTTGAAGTAAGCTTCGTCTTTTAGTAGGATTGGGCCGGATTACTTTTAGTTTGTCTTGATTTCCTGATGGATTGGTATTGTGATCTGTTACAATTAAGTATTCGTCACTGCCACTAGTCTGGTCATGTATCAAAGCTAATACCTAATAAAGACAAGGTTGGTGTTATGTGTGATGCATAGAAAATTTCAAGAACGCACGAAATGTGAATTAAAAATTTCTATCTCACGATCCAAGTAACTTTTGTTCAATAGTAATAATAAGAACCTTACACAACTCACACACAGCCATCTGATCCTATGGGAACCAGACCGCTCGGCTGTAGACGAGTCGGTCTACGGCACTGTACGATGCACCGGTGTGGCCGGCGGCTGACCTCCACAGTGGATTCTGGCGGCTAACCGCCTCCGTCAAAACGGTGCGCTTAAAAAAAATATATGCTTACCGCATCGTTTTGACGAAGGCGTCTTGCGCGATGGTCGGATTTCCGGATTTGGAGTTAGAAGTGCTCGAAGAAGTTTTTGTTTTTATTTTTTCGGTCGTTCCGACTGGGACTCCACGTGCTGGCTTTGCCGCCATGGAGGCGCTCCAGTTGGTTGGTAGGCAGGGCAGCAGCATGGCACCCTTTCCTTCCGACTGACGCATGTCTTTTCTAGGCACAGCTGCTTTGGGAAGTACCTGCATTCGCCGCGGCCTCATCTTTCTGCGAAGACGTCATCTTGCAGAAGGAGACAGCGGGGAAGGCCTGAGAGGACAACCTCCACTCGGACATAATTCGTCGCCGGCGAACCCTTCTTGGGACCGGCGCTTGCCAGCGCCTTATGCCGGGGACGGGGATGGGTTTTCTCCTCAATCTGCTGTAGTAGTCAACCGCGAGAAAGCGACGTCCGCGTGTGCCGTACGTCGCCTAAATAGAGAATTCACCCGAAGGTGGTGCACGCGCTTTGCGGGCAGGCGCTGGGATGGGTCCGGATGTCTTAATAACAGTAGTTCCTGGATTCCTCCTATTTCAGGCACAAAGAAGCACACCGTGTGGTTTTAATCAGTCCGATTCCGATAAATATAAAAGCATAAAGCAGTCAGGTTCACTCACCACCAGCCCAACAAGTTTGTGCAAAAAACCCTACACTAAATTATATTCCCTTTAATTTCGTTCCTTCGTTTTAAAATTATTACAGTCTTATGACTTTCCATAACTCATTTCATCACAACATTCCTCCATTTTCCCGTAGAAAGTAGACAGTTCCACACTTATTATACGTATTATTAAGATTTATGTATATCATTCGCGTCTCGGAAACTGGTTTATCAGTGGAGTTTTATATTCCTTTTGACACACCCGTCTCTGCCAAGTGTCCTGAGAATTGGAATAATTTATCTATGAAATTTCCCGAAGGTGCTACAAGACAAACGAAATAAAATCTTTTTTTTCTTTTCTGAGTAAAATGCAAGAAATTTAAGTTGATGCTTGAGTGTGTATGTTTATATGTTTTTTACGGTAATTTAATTTCGATTCCTATCGCCAAATTGTAAAGAATGAATTTCAATGCATGTATTTAACACATGCATTGAAATTCATTCATTCATTTCAAGTTATAAAAAAATGCATTGATCACCCCAACCAATGTTTAATCTAATAGTTTCTTTTAAGAATAGTAATTGGATAAAGGTGATTCGTATCGTATATCGATTCATATATCAACTAATACGAGTAAAGATTCGAAGCTTAAGAAGCGGCGGTAGCAACGAAATTGCGATGAAATCCGGATGGATTCGAATCTTTACTCGCTCCCAAAGCAGTACAGACGGGAACAGAATTCTTTTAAAAATATAAAATTAAACACGATGCTTAAAATTGATAATATATGATTGTCAAATTTAAAAAAATCCTGCGGTAAATTGTATTCAATGTGTTTTGTACTTAAGAGGAATTTATTGAACAGTTTAAAATTTCAGCAGCAGTTATAGATCTAATTTATTTGTGCCTTTTCTCAAATTATCAAAATACAATTTGACTTTCTGGGTATAATTTTATTTAATCAAGGAAAACTTTTTACCTACGTATCTTTCTACAATAACGACAACACTTTTCACTCATCAGACTGAAATGGGTGTTCTTTGTGTCCATTTCATGTATTTTTGTAAAGTCCCCCGCTACACAGAATCTATATTCTTAATGCGTAGTTGTCTTTTTGAAAAAAAAAACATGAACGTATGACCATGACTGAAGTAAATATATACTACTTCGCCCAGATTTAATGAGTTCAAAGTTACTGTATGTGTTTGAATTGTCCAAGCACTAACAATATACTCGTACCTAGGTTGTGACATCACTGATGATACAGATTGTTTGATAATTACGAGGAAGCGTTCAGAATTGATGATGTAGAGGAACATTGTTTGTTAGGAATTACACCGTACGCTAAATTCGACTCTGATTAGCCGGCACCATTCAGTGTGGCGTTGCACGTAGCATGAACCCAACCTTAGTCAAGCTAGAGAGTAAATCGCCTGCCTACCACTGCTAGGTTATGACCTTTTATAAGATAGCTATAGAAACGTAAATTTTAACGGATTCAATGTTATCTACAGATTTATTTGGTAGAAGTACTTACTTTCGTTTATTTTATTCTTAATTATGAACATAGTTATTTTTAATGCAAATTATTTTGATAGCGGGCTACGTAGAACTACAATTCGACTGATGGCGTTGTGGTTTAAGCGGTCGCCACGCCGCTTCCTACTACGCTGAGTATTATGGGTTCGATCCCCACATGGGACGACACTTTTGTTATCAACAAACTCTGAGTCTTTTTGTTCTTTGTGTCCGTTTCATGTATGTTTGTAAAGTCGGCGACCCAGAATATATTCCAAGTGCGGGAGTTGTCTTCTTAAAAGAAAGAAAATAAAGAAGAATAATACTTAATTACGAGTCTCCACAACTAGTCCGTTACAACATAGTTATTATACTTTTTATGACGTCAATGATTGCTTAAAATCTGTGATATCTGCTTTGCTTAAGGTGTGTTAGACGTTGCAACAAAGACACTACTATTATGCGTCAAAACGGTCAATCCACATTATAAGTTTCCAAACTCGACGGCTCTCGGACCCTTTACTGTCCTAATCATAGAGGCCCTTTAATTTACCGTTATACGACAAAGTGAAATCAAATTATTCAAATATTTAGACAACATGGCCGCCCAGTCACCCACTAATGAATTTAAATTAGTTCATTCAAATCAAACGAGCTATGGTATTCAAATTAACATTGGTTAGAATTGAGGTTTCGTTCACTATTTACATTTTGTTTTGTTGAAATATTTTGCTCCGTACCTTTAATTAATGCAACAAAAATATATGAATTTACGGAAGCGGAAGTAGATAGAGACATTTGTTTGGTATTATAATAAAATTCAACCCGTACTGATTACTTTGAAATCTGGTACACATCTATCGCCGCCGCGCCAGTACAAATTGGATCAAGGACGATATATACATAATTTAAATGTACGGCTAGTAGTAGTAGGCTAGTTGCAAATCATCCCTATAGTTTATAAAGGCATGCGTAGGGTGTGATGTGCCATCATTCCAGGCTTAGGCTGTTGAGCTTGCTGCTCTGAGATCATTTTTCATACAAGCAGGAGATCAGTTGGCGCTTCCCGGTGACTCGTGGGTTTTCTGAAGAGTTTAAAAATGCGAATTGCTTCCACCTGTTTTGTGTGCTCACTTTTAGATGGAATAAAGTGGCTAACTTCCATCCGATCTTACTTCAGACAATGAACAAAACCATGCACCCTGCCGCAGAACCAACATCGATTGTTATACTAATCGACTTGCATATATATATTTCACTGTTTGATGACTCAATGACTAATAATTAATATTAATTTACTGACTTATTTGACTAAAGTAATAAACCGTGTAGTGACGGATTAAGAATACGGAATGTCACTACCCCAATTCATCCCGTGGGTGTCGTAAGAGTCGACTAAGGGCGCAAAACAACGCAGGACACCAGCTCTGCAAAAAGAAGGAAAACTTATCATAAACCCTATACCAACCCGTCTGGCCAGCGTGGTATAGTAGGCCAAAACCTTCTTTCTAAGGAGAGACCTATGTTCAGCAGTGGACTATTACAGGCTGTTGATGTGATGTGATGTGAATAAAAAGGCGACCTAAATATTTAGGTATATATGTGTATTGTATATTTTATTTTACTTAGTTTAGGCAAAGAATATAAATTATCTTTAATTTATCATAATTAAGCATTTAAGCTGTACCTTATGGTTTTTAAATATTAATAATTATTCATATCGTAAAGTTAATGCCTTTTTTCTTAATACATCTTGGAGCGGTGATAACTGAATAAGACAGTCAACTTAGGACTTGATTACAAGACTAAATGTATAGTAGAAATACATTTTGTTATGTCGTGGAATTTAAATTTATCATTCTCAAATGTTTCATACCTGAACTAATTTCAAATTTATATTGTTTGTGAGGCAAATACTGTTATTACTACACTTTAAATACAGCGATTAACACTCTAAAACAATCTGTGGATAACATTTAAAATCAAAATAAAGCATTTCGTAATTAGTAAAGCTTTAATGTATTATTGGCTTTATTTCCACACTAACAAGATTCAATTTACATTAACATTCAAGCGTATACACACTGGTATATCTCATCCCTTAAAGCACTAAATAGTTCTTCAGTACGCTTTCTTGCCTTGGAGGTGCAAGTAGTTAAGCGTTCGCATGACTGTTCGTTGTGTCGCCTTGCGTTGGTTAAACTCAAATCCAGCTCGTAACCCAGGATAACCGCTGCTTTAGATAGCTCTTGAAGACAGGTTGAAACATTTGTACTGAATATTGGAAAAACGTTTATTTATACCAGTTATATATAAGGTATATACTATTATATTCTTTGTTCTTCTATTAGTACTTTGTGTTTACGTACCCACCACGATCATAATACTTAACATATGTAATATGGTCTTGAAGAAAGAAGAACAATTATTTATATTTATCTAATATATAAAATTCTCGTGTCACAATGTTAATTACCATACTCCTCCGACCGATTATTTTGAAATTTTGTGTGCACATCGATTAGGTCTGCGAATCGGCCAACATCTATTTTTCATACCCCTAAATGACAAGGGTGACCCACCCACGCTTCCAGGGAACATGGGGTCTGTCGATGACCGGAGGTATGTCGGGGCATCAGGGACTTCCTTTCTAGGGTATACCTGGTTCCCCGGCTATTAGTACCCGAGACGGCGTGCGGTTTTAGTCGGTTCGAGTCCGACATGCCACCGACAGGGAAAAAAAAAAAAAAAACAAAAAAAGGCGGGTCGTTCGTATCTTATAAACTGTCCCGACTAATTATTAATATAGGTACGTAACCAGACAAGGCACTGTAGAATCGCAGAGAAACAGAGAGACAGAGAAACACCTTTTTAATGTAATATCGGGCCTGTTAGTTCAGTGTTTCAGTAACCAGGGTCACTGACGTCTGAACCAGAGGCCGTGGGCATAACTTCCACCCCGGACAAATAATAATGTGATGAGCTTAAATATTAGTTTCGTGTCTGTTATATATCTGTAAAATGTATGTATTTAGTATTGTACAAGTATGTTTATCAGAATTCTGGTTACCATAAAGCAAGTTCTGCTTGATCTAGGATTAGACAGCGGCGCGTCAGGAATAACAAGTTAAAAATGAAATAAGAAAGGCCCTGTTTAGATGACAATCCCTCTCTTACCAATTTCAGGGATATTTTCTTGTAAAAGCTACTCACTTTTCCAATGTCCTTCTTTGACTCCCAGAGATTTCAAATACTCTCGTAGCATCTACCAGGGTTGCTTGCATGTGGTTCCTCGTGATACCTATCATTTCTTCAGCGTACTTCCCCATTTTAGCGATGGAGATGCGTGCTTCTTCAGTGCAGGCGTATATAGAAGCTAGATGCTTGCTCGCTGTGGTACGTGATGCACGCCGTTCTTCATCACACATAGCTGAACAAAACGGTGAATTTAAGTCTTAAGGTCTATTTCCTTACAGCATACGACATTTTTCTTACGTTACATTTGAAAGCGTGGAGTTCATAGAACCTTTAAAAATAGTATCTAACTGTACCTAGTTTATTAATTTAAAGAAAACTGGCAGGACCTGGATGCGATTGCTGAGATCAAACCAAGTGGCGTGCAATTGGAGAGGCCTATGTCCAGCAGTTGACTGCGATAGTCTTATGATGATGATAAAAGAGAACTGGCGTTACCAAAACAGGTCTGAAGAATCAGGTTGTTTGGCATCTTTGGTTCGCAATTCCTCTACCTCTCTTTGACATTTTGAAGAACCCTAGATCAGGAAAAAGAGATAGAAGTATCGCACCATTTTTTATAATGGGCTGGTGTATCGGACTCGAACCGATGAACCACTTGTGGTAAATCAATAATTCCGTAAAAAAAGGTTGTCCAAAAGATAGCAGCAGTCTGTATTAAGACTACCTTTTTTTCTACCGATGTTGATGAACAGTACTTAGCTGATTACGTTAACTCCTACCCCACAGCAATCCTGGTAGCAGTTCATGTCATTAGACCCCAAATATGGTTCGTTGCTGTGTATCAAACTCTGTCTTGCCTAATTTCTAAGCCCAAGTCTAATTCATGACGTTGATGTACATTGTATTTTTTTTGTGATCTCAGTAGTATTATATCACATCACATCAACCGCCTTTAATAGTCCACTGCTGGACATGTGCCTCTCCTTAGAAAGGAGAGGCATATGTCCAGGCATATTTAGTATTATATTTTTATAAATATGTATATTTTTTCAATTTTGACATAAAAATGACAGCTTAGAAGATAATTGAATAAAACAATTGAAGATACTATACAGTACAAAGCAAGATTAAAAATTACGTGGCACTTTAAGCTCGTCGGCAAGCTGCGTTAGCTCTTGATACATGTGTTGTTTCTTTTGTATGGCAGCGTTAATCTCATCCTTGATTCTACGCAGTATTTTACCAGTCAACTGTTGGTATGAGTTTTGTATATTCCTGTGGTATGTATCCAAGAAGGGGGCAAGCACTGTATCCATATACCGGGAAAGTTCACTGTAAAAAGTATATGCCAATTTTTAATTTTCTGTATATTTTGCAATCTTCCTTTTTTTTAAGATAACTCTCGCATTAGGAATACATCCTATGTCGCGCGGGACTTTACAAACATACATGAAACGGACATAAAGAATACCCAGACTCAGAACATCAATTTTAGTATCACACAAAGTGTCGTCCCATGTGGGGATCCAACCCACAACACTCAGCGTAGTAGTAAGCGGCGTGGAGACCGCTTTAACCACTACGCCATCCGTGCAGTCATAATTTCAAAGTATTCAATCACATGCTAAATTAATACCTGAAGGTGGGCAAATCAGACTGTTGTGTTTTTAACAAACAAGTGTTCAAGATGTAAATTCATTTGTGGACTTCTTAATGATAAAATGATAAGACGAGTAGTGTTTTTGATAAGTTGTAGAAATATTTTTATATCAACTACTATTGGGGCAAGTAAGTAAATGAACCAAACAGATAATGTGTATCTGTGTGATTCATTTTAAAATTAATATCAACTTTTGAACGTAGCAGTACAATATTTCGGCACATATGAACCGCTTCGATTAGAGTTGTTAGACTCATTTATAAGCATAGATTAAGCAATTTCATTTACCTATTAGCTAACGCTAATGATTGAGACCTGAGCTGCCTTCGAAGCACAGAGTTCCATCTCTGTCTTAAGTACGTAATATGATCCTCCAACACAACAGGCTGATGCTGCCATGGAGTTATTTCGAAACAAAGGCCGCCATCTTGACGCAGATGATTGTTCCGGTACTGATAGTTGAGGGTTGGAAACTATACATTTAATCACAAAACTATAGAGCAAATAAACTATCATTGATTAATACATATACTCGCGCCTTTAATACCGAAAAAGTGAAAACTAAAATAGCAAACATGTTCTTTGTCCATTAACTTCAAGCTCAAACAAATGTAAATTGGATATAAAATTTAAGTATTTCATATAGTTTGTTAGTTAGTCATTTAGGTTCTTAATATCAAAGTAAATTGAAACTCTGCGTACCCAAGATTTCGTAGAAATTACATCAATCTTAGTGATTTTATTATTCTGTAATGTATGTCTGTAACATATAAATACAGATATAAATGTTATATATGTATGTTGCTGAGCCCAATCTCTTCGGTATACCAAGCAAATGTTACAGTATTTTTCTAAACTTTTTGAACTATTGTATTTTCTTCCTGTCTTTTAAACCAATTCCATTAACTTAAGGACATTTCGCTTTCACAAAGCCTTCTCCATCCCAAGACCCTTTCTCTTACAGTTTTGTAACCATCACTTTCTAATCACAGATATAATAGTTCTATCTAAATGTTTTAGTGTCTGTGTTGTGTTTAACTCTTATAACAAATATCTCTTAAAACATATCTTCGTCATCGTACATACCCTGCAACTAACTACGGGCTCAGCTGTCTTCACACAAACTACACAAGACAATACAACAAGACCAATCACCAACATTCTTTACAAACAATATTATAAATCCAAAAATATGTAAAGTGAAGTCACAACCAGATTTTATCGCTACCAATCACAAGCTTCAATAAACCGTGAAGATATCTCTCATATTAATTACAAGTTTCGTAAGTCAATCCCTTTTAGGATTCCGTACATCAAAATGAAAAACTGAAATCCTATTAGACATTTCGTTGTGTCTGTCTATATCTCAACAAACTTTATCTTGGATATTTTCTTAGATATCGTGGTGTAAGTAAATGTTGCAACCTCAATGTTAAAAAAACTACTATAAGAGTCATGTTTCAGGCAAATATTAAGTTGTATTATATTTTGTGTATGTTGTATTTACCTGTAATAATTAAGATCAATAGTTTATGATCTGTGTTGTATGTGTATTGTCAGAGTGAATTCAAATTTCAAATATTGGTAAATCAAATAATTCAATAAACAAGTAAATACGAGTAAAATATGGGCCAAGTTCGACCGGAATAATTCCAAAAAAATGGTGTTGAGCAATAATTTTTTTGCTTTTCACTGAATGAGTGAGATTACCGAAGAACAACCCTCTCCTGTCTGGAAGGAAGGGGGGGACGAAAAGGATGGAAAGTACGCCTTTGTACTAAATTTGCTTTAAGTTTTGAATAAATAAATAAATGCACCTGTGACTTCTGGGTAGCAGGTGTCCATGGGCGGTGATAGTCACTTATCAACAGGTGACCCTTCTGCTAATTTGCCGCCTATGTTTTTATGACAGAGGAAGTAAATGAGCAGACGACTGCACGGATGGCGTAGTGGTTAAAGCGGTCACCACGCCGCTTCCTGCTACGCTGTTGTGGATTCAAACTCCACATAGGACGACACTTTGTGTGATCCACAAATTGTTGTTCTGAGTCTGAGTGTTCTTTGTGTCCGTTTCATGTATGTTTGTAAAGTCCCCCGCGACACAGGATATATACCTAATACGGGCGTTGTCTTTTTTAAATGAAAATTTAAATGAGACGAGTCATGTGACGGAAAATGGACGCCTACAACTCAGGAGTCACGACCGCGTTACCGGCCTTTGAAGTGGAATTATCAGGCTTATAATTATATCAATCTATGTGTTAATCAAAACCTATCTGCTATCTCGTTGACGTTGTTGGAAAAATAACGCCGGCAAATATGTGGGCAAAACTCAGTGAAAAATAAAATATATTCCAAATTTAAATTCTGCGCAACCCTCAGGGACTGACTACTACTCACAACATAGTAGTTATAGATGCAGAGAAAGGAACAGATTTCGAAAAGCCGCTTCTTTAGTTTCTGAAGTCAATGGAGTTTTTTAAATTCCGTGAAGATGAATTAAAATATCTAAATATACCTATAAATATTAAGAAAAATAAATTAACTTAAAATGGAACCAAGTGTGTCGGTGTGACACCACAGCCTCACAGAACAGCCGTGTTAAGCCATTTTTAACCGACTTCAAATAGGAGGAGATTATCAATTCGGATGTTTATATTATTTTATGTATGTTCGGGCATAATTATGTCTTTTATAGACTGATTGGGAATTATTTTTTCTGTTCGATAGGGATTTATTCCGAAATGGTCCTATTTAAATTTCATATAGATTTGATGATGAGTTTCGGCGACAGACAACGGAACTCTTAAAAAAATAACAACAAATGAACCGTTATCTTGTTTTTTATGTTACTTTTCACCTAGTGAGTGAGCGGCTAATCGACCGTTCACCTCACTTAAAATAACATGAGGGTCCATTTTGAATTGGCTGTTTGACACCACGGCCACGGTATGAATCGATTAATATATTTTTAAACGTCATAAATTGGCGACGCATATTACACCCTAAATTCACATTCAAATGTTTAACTTCTCCACATAAGCCATCGATTGTGGTCATATAAATGCGAGAATCGAATCTACAATCTTTGAAAATAAAGCAATATTATATCAGACGGTTAAAGAACACATATTTTCGTAAAACATTAGCCTCAGTCATGATCTAGGCAACCAAAAGTTAACCACAAAGGACCTTTAGAATATATTTTATAGACCTATCATAAATTCGTGAGCGTAACTTTAATACCTTTAATGGGCATCCTGGACCCTAAAAGGACTGATGACCTACAATTGAAAGGAAACTGTAAATAGTACCATAAATAATCCATCCTTTGTACACGCGAGTGTTTATAAAATGATTAAATTGTAGGAAGGTGTCGTTACCACTAATATATGAATTCGCAAAATGCGCCATTAAGGCACTAAGTACAGTTGGCATTGATAATAACTTAATAAGGTTCTGTCCTGGAAGTCACGTGCTGCAAAATAAATACAAAATAACGCTAAGTTGTGAGTGAGTTAAACTTTAAATGCCTGTCTTACGTGTAATTTTTGTCGTAATCGCATCACTCTTTTTTTTTAATTAAAAATAAGTGAAAAATATATTCATCATCAGCCTATCGCAGTCCACTGCTGGACATAGGCCTCTCCCATTGCAAAAATATATTAGATGATTAAATAACTATCTAAACATGAGATAGTGGACAGTATCATTACATTGTTTTTTTTTCACTTTTTTTATTCAACTCCCGGAATATATCCTATGTCTCGGGGTCTTTACATACATTCATGAAACGGATACAAAGAACACACAGACTCAAAACGACAATTTGTGGATTACACAAACTTACTTCCTGACACACAAACTGGGCTCGAACCAACAACACTCAACGTAGCAGGGAGCGGCGTGATGACCGCTTAAACCACTACGCCATACGTGCAGTGTTTTTCAACAGTAGTGCCTCTTTATTAGTCCATCTTGAGAGTAAAGGGACAAAAACCTAGGCGTGCACAGCCACGTGCGTGCTGATAAAGATACTAAATACTTCGTGGTTACTGTTATTCAGGGAATAACTAAGCTTCAGGGTTTCCGGGGTGGCGGCGAGCGCGTTGCGAAGCGCGCTCGCTTCCAGGGAGCACAGGGAACATGGGGTTCCCACACGGGGGGGGGGTCGTCTACTCGTCTGTAGATGACCCGAGGTATTTCGGGGCACCAGGGACTTCCTTCCTACGGTATACCTGGTTCCCCGACTATTAGTACCCGAGACGGCGTGCGGTTTTAGTCGGTTCGAGTCCGACATGCCACCGACAGGTGGTATCCGAGGGGATTTCCGCACGGAAAAAAATTAAAAAATTAAAATAAGGGTAAAGCTTTAATTCTACTTGATAGCATTGAGGTCGTTAATAACAGATCTCAACATTATTACAGTGACACTAGGCATTTGTCGCAGTTTCAAGCACGATTATAGTCAATACAATGCTTCTTAGGATCGTAAGACTAAGGCTATACAAAACAAAAAAGGGTTGGCTGTGTTCGAAGCCAAATGTTAGTTCCAGAAACTATTGTATATTAGTACATATGGGTTTGACGGGCCTGTTGTGTGTGTGGTTAGTAACCCTGACTGCTAAGCCGGAGGTCGTGGGTTCGATTCCCACCCAGGACAAATATTGTGTGATGAGCACGGTTATTTGTTCTGTGTCTGGGTGTAATTTATCTAAAATATGTATGTATTTAAAAAATATATAAGTACCTATGTTTATCAGCAGTCTGGTTACCATAGTACAGGCTCTGCCTAGTTTGGGATCAGACGGCCGTGTATGAGATGTGTGAGGTATATTATTATTATTTTTAATGCTTTCCGCAATTGATAATTAATTATAGTGCGTTTTCTAAAAATCAATGGAAATGACTACATTGAATGATTTTTATAAAAATAATCAATATCTGGTATTTATAAATTCAATCGACTCAATCAATCAACTTTGTAGAAGTCTGCTGTTATATTAGATTTCTACAAAGTTAATTAAAATAAACCAAGTAACTTGCAAGAAAAGTAATTTGATAAATCAGCTTTATTATGGCTATTATATGCCTTTAGTGGTCGATTCGCACATACTGAAGATATTAGTGTGCGAATGGACACCTCTATAAAAATAGCTATTCGCACACATTTTCTAAAATGAAATTTATTTAAGAAAATAGTACAGCAGCTCATAAAAGTGGTGCGTATTATAAAAACAAAGGAAATAGTCAGTAAAATATATTATTTGTGGAAAATATTCGGTGTTTGTGATCGAATAATCGATCGATGTTTTTGTTTGTATATTTGGAACGTTTCATAAAGTATTTTTCCCCCCTATTACACGATCCCCTATTTTTTAATCACGCTTTTAGTATTTTGTATAAACATATTTTTGTATAACTGGCAGAAGAATATTGGCCTTGTGTACTAGTTTAATATAGGCATAATATTCTCACTGAGTTCCTGGTGTAACTAATACTAGTCATTACAAAAATTCTACCATCATTTTCGTACTAAAAATGTAAAACAAATATTTGGTCAACAAAGACAAGGATTTTACTTTAATAAATGGTGGATAGCTATCCATTTTGAATTATTTTTAAGAATAAATTTCTTTACATAAACTTTTAGAATTCATATCATTTAAAGTTTTCATAATAGCGCAATGAACCCTTTTGTTGCGTGTTAGCTCGTGTGGAGTAGATACTCTGGAATTGAACCCGCACCAGTCCCAGTGTCGTTGAACGTGTTAACCACTCGACTATTATTGAGTTGGTTATCTTAAATCACTTAAAGCAAAGCGGATAATACTCGCTAAACTAGCAATACCTATAATATTATTTACCTTCGACTGTAGTGAGAGTGAATTTCTTGTAAGTAAATCAATCTTACCATAGGATGTTTGGATCAAGCCCGGTAAAACAGACTTTATGAATATAACGCATCTCGGTGACGTGCCGAAACGCCAGCTGTGCTTACCTCATATAGTACAGGGCTGGACTAATCACACAAAATACATTAAAAATACTATTTAAGAAATAAATTATTAGTAGCTTCTTTAATTCTATTGTAGAATAGTAGTGATAATTTTTTAAGGTGATATTTATAATAACACTATTAGAAAAAACCCGCAAGAAGT